CTCTGTACCTAAAATCACTGGGTTAATTGTTGACCTGAAACATTTCAAATTTTGTCTTAACAAACAAGATTGATGACTTTTGTTAGCCTTTCTTTAATTAGGGATATCTGGAGGGGAGGAGTTCAGGATGAGGAGCCAGAATATTAATAAAGAAAGAGCTAGCTCATTAAAAATTAAATTCGGAGACAACCTTTGTGTTGAGAGGATGGTGGAAGTTTGTAAGTTACTTTTACAAATGGTGTGTGATGTCTGGTCAGTTAGTGCATTTAAAATTAAGATTGATAAACTTTTGTTAATCAAAGGGATTAAAATGGGTCAAAGGTGGGTTTATGGAGTTAGGGTCACAGATCAGTCACAATCTAACTGAATTATAGTACAAACTAGAGGGGCTGAAGGGCCTCCTCCTGTTCCTATGTACATTTGGAAATTAAGACGTTTAGAAAAATTGATTTTTCTCTCTGCCTGAACACAAACATGTGATTTCACTGATTTACTGCTTCAGCAAGTTTCCTGCAGCATCACAAACTTTCCTTTCCAATTGGTTGAGAGTTCCCGGTATTTCAAATATGCTTCAGTAAACACTTACCAGTCCGTTCAGCGATTTGAAAATGCAAGCCAGTGTTTTCTGAAGGTGCTTTTGGAACAGCCTGAGCTGGCAGCAAAATCTACCCTTTAAATCATTTAACTTTGTAAACTTTTCAAACCTGTAAAATAAACTCAGTGACAGAAAGACTGGGGAAATAAAGCCAAACCCATAAAGAGCAGTAGTTAACCTCGAGCTGGTGTGTGGAAATATGAATAGAGTCCGGTAACTGGTTTGCTCTGTTGTGCAGTGCTCAACTACATGTGGAATGGGAGCGATATGGAGAACAGTACATTGCAGTACAGGCTCAGACAATGACTGCAACAGGACCAAGAGGCCAGTTCCAGCTCGAAGGTGCTACATCCGACCTTGCTCAGCATGGCGTGTGGGCAACTGGAGCAAAGTAAGTCTCTCATTTCCTTTCAGTACCTCCAATTTCATGCAAAGTGGGACATGGGATCATTCATATGATGGACCTAACAATATCCATTGAAAAAATCCAGTATCACAACTCCATTAGGGCAAATTCCTTGCTTCTTTGCTGGAGCAGCTGGTTTTCAAAATGCTGTAGGACTGTCAGGCTTTAATGTGTTAAATTTTGGTGTATAGTACTGCAGTATAGCTGAATAAAGATACATTTTGTCAAAGAATTTTCAACGTGTCAGTACAAGAATACCAATTTATCAGAAAAAAATACATTTATACCACATGAGGGGAAAGTACCAATTGGTTGATGAATGGCCATTGATTTCGAGAGTCATTACTGTATAGAAAGCGCTAATTAGTGACGATTGACAGTTCATTGCCAGACATGTTTAAACATTAAAACAAGCAAGTTGCCTCTGATTGGTCAGATAATTTGTCATGTTGAAACAGGCACAATGTGTGTGCATATTCTTTCTGCCTGCAAGAACAGAGTCCTGCGTATGAATATAAATAGCTTACATTCACGCAAGTGTGCCACCTTGCAGTCCCAACAGACAATCCTCAAAAGATCATAATTTTTTGCACCCTCATGATAATCCAGCAAACATCGTCCAATTGCAGAATCAGCTCTAATGTTGGACACTGTTTCAAGCTTTGTAAACTTAGGCTGGTTGAGTACAGGGAATACTCTATTTGCTGCAAACAGCTGTTTGATATGATCTGCCAGCCTTTGGGAAAAAAGGCCTATATACCTGGCATCACACTGGCACCTAGCCCCAGCATGCATTGTTTGAACAATTGTAATTCAGTAAGGGTGTCACAGAATGCCAAGTCCACATGGCTTTTGCTATCCATGGTTCTCTCTTAACAACATCAGATTATGTTAAGTTATGGTCCCTGACTTTGTGTAAAGTAAATTTGAAACTAATCCTTTTCAAGGAAAATGATTTTGCAGTTACTGTTGTTAAAAAGCTGTTACTTATGTATAAATAGTCAGGTAGGGAATGTCCTAACCTTCCAGCTCTCTGTACCGCCCTTCACTGGCTTTGTTTTCCAGTCTGAAGGTGCATTTCTTTTAGTTTAAAATAACTCAGGTTCTAATCAAAAAAATTAAACTTTTTTTATGTGGTTAATGCCCCATCCAAAACCTCATCCTGATTCAGGGTGAGGAATTCTTCCCTTGGACAATTTGGACAAAGCTGTTGTCTGGTTCATCATTAATTAGTTTTCCAGATACCTACCACCAAGATATTGGAGGTTTCTGTAGATGGCCACTGTTGCCTCCATGCTGTGAGTTTTCCACAATCAGGGAGTTTTACCAGATGTGACAATACTTATGTTATCTCCCATAACACAGAAAAATGGGTGTGGATATTGTATTTAAAAATTCAACAGATATTTATTTCAACTATTGTGTGCAAACGTTATATTTTTAAGGCACCTAAATGCATTGTTAATGTAAAGGGCTATTATGGTGGACCAGAGGAGCATGCTTCCAGTAGAGGCAACGCTTCAGGTAACTTTAATGTTGTGATGATATCATGGGCAGTCTCTTAGGGTATACTGACACATTGGCAATGAAGCTTAACACATAAACAGAGACCATCTCCAAAACACCATAAGATTCTCCATCTCACTGTAACACCCTTCATTACACTGTAACATCATTACAGTGTAGGACCCTCCATTACACTATATCAACCTGCATTACATGATAGCATCCTCCAGTATACTGTAACCACCTCCAGTGCATGGTGGTACCCTCCATTACACCTATTGTCTTGCATTGTAAGACCCTCCATGACAATGTCACAATCTTCACTGCACTTCTAATGTCCCCGACTGAACAGTCAATCCTCCGTGTGTTATACGCACCCTAGCTCCCTGCTGTATTGTAACACACATTCTGTGGACTAGATTTGTATTCCTATACATATAAAAGATTGGGATGCTCCAAGTGGTATCTTTAAGATGATTAAAGGGTTTGATGGGAAGAAATTATTTCTTTTAGCAGGGGAGATGTAAGTGGATACACTGTAGGATAAAGGTGCATCACCTTAGAATTAGAAAAGGCTATTCCATTGTGATGTGAGGAAGCAGCACCTCACTCTGTAAGTCGTGCAAATCTGAAACAGTTTCACTCCCAGAAAGATGTTGAGGCTGCTGGTCAATTAACATTTAAAAGGTGAGGTTGAAAAGATTTATGAACCAGATCATTTTGACCCTCCACAATACTTAAATCTCAACTTCACTACTTTACCTTCCCAAGGGTATCATTGGAGCGCACGCATAATTTCTAGCAAATCTGTGATTGTTCACCTCAGACTAAAAGCTGAGGAGACAGCAGCTGTCTCTGGCAGGGCATTCTGTTTCTCTGAACAGAATGCAAAGGTTAATTAGCTGTCAGGTTTGGCAGCATCCCACAGGAGCAGCTGTAACTCGCACTCATCAAACCAGTTCCTGATTCCTCCGCTGTCTCGTTGCGTCCTTACTATGAATTCTGGTCTTTGAGCTTTCTAATCGTGCTCATATTATTTTGTGAGTTTCAAAACTCTGTGGTCTTTTTACCACTGCAATCTCCCGACTCTTGCAGAGTTTCAGCTCCACAGATGCAGGGGACACAAATTTTAAAAAGAAGGGGGTTGCCACTTCAGTCCAAGATTAGAAGATTTTCTTTTCCTCAGAGGAAGCTCAGTCATTGAGTCTGTTTAAGGGAGAGACAGATCAATTTCTGATTCCTGTTTGTGTACAGAGTTATAGGAGTGGGGTGAGTAAAAGGCATTGAAATCTTCAGAGGATAGACTCAATGGGCTGAATGGCTTGCTGCTATTCCTATGTTTCTATGTAGGAGAATGTCTAGAACCTCACTCAGGTAGTTAGTCTTCATCTCCATGTCTCCAGTGTCTGTTTGACCAACATCCTAGCCCTTGTCCTCAGCCCTCACGAGAGGCTCTTGGGGGCGGTGGGGATTACTCATATGTGAGATGTGGGTGTCACTGGCAGGGCCAGCATTTATTGCCCGTCCCTAGTTGCCCCTTGAGAAGATGGTGGTGAGCTTCCTTCTTGAACTGCTGCAGTCCATGTGCTGTAAGTAGACTTACAATGCTGTTAGGGAGGGAGGATGACCCAGCGACTGTGAAGAAACAGCAATATATTTTCAAGTCAGGATGATGAGTGGCTTGGAGGGCAACTTGCAGGGGGTGGTGTTCTCATGTATCTGCTGCCCTTATCCTCCTAGATGGAAGGGGTCACAGATTTGGAAAGTGCTGTCTAAACTTTGTGACCTGCCATTGTATATCGATGCTGCTGAGAGTAAATGTTTCATTTGGATGAGTGCTACATTTACAATATTTACAAGAATGGTTTTAGGGGAGAAAACCTTTGGTTATCAAGATAGATGGAATAATTTGGGACTGTTCTTTTAGAGAAGAAAGCTAAGAGGAGAACTCATTAAAGTTTTCAAAACATGATTTAGCTGGACTTGGGGGAAGCTGTTCCTGCTCATTAAAGAGAAATGAACGTGAGTACATAGATTTAAAGTGATGTACAACTGAAGCAAGTGTGATATGAGGAAAAGATTTCTCGCACAGCGGGTCTGGGACTGCATTGTTTGGAAATGTAATGGATGCAGGCTGAATTGGGACATTCAATTTGGATAGAAATGCTGTGCAGGGAGATAGGGAAAAGGCAGGAGATTGGCACAAGTGGATAGAACTGGAGTAGTCACGGTGGGCTGAATGACCTCCTTCAGTCCTGTAACAATTCTGTGATTGCATCTGGTTACAGCTGATTTTGTTTAAACTGTGATCTGGAGGTTTATGCCCTGCACATGTTTCAGTGTGAGGAAGAAAGCTGAATTGCTGAATGCCATTTAATATTTAACAAAAATCTGAAAGAAATGCAGATGCTGGAAATCAGAACCAAACAGAAATTGCTGGAAAAACTCAGCAGGTTTAGCAACATTTGTGGACAGAATGCAGAGTTTAAACATTGAACATATAACCATTTAACGTTTAACATACCATTGAACATTTCGTTGTTACGTCCAGGATATTTTAATCATGGCACCCTCACCTCCCCACCCCCACCATTTGTTACTTTACCTTTGGTTCTCTGTTTGCCCTAATAGCAGCCCAACCTCTTAGTTGCTCTCTATGGCCCAGTGTGCAGCACCATGGGATGCAGCAATTAAGTGTTCTCTCCTTGTTTTCTTCTTTTCTGGAATGATATCTAATCCTTTATTTAACCCCTTCCTGACTGAGCAGAGCACAACTTCAAATCTATAACATTCCTTGCAATGAATCAAATTTTCCCAACTATTCCTATACGGATTCTGTAAATGAAGACAGTTTTAGTATGGAAGGGCAAAATGTGTACGCTCAGGCTTGGGGAGCCGAAGGGGCTGTTTCTATGCTGTATTGTTCTTTGTTTATGTAAAATTGCAATGGATCAAACTCTTTCCCAGTCACTTATATTGAATTTTTGATCTAAGCATTTAGACAAACATAAACACAAATCCTCCTCCTTCAAACAAAAACTATTCCCTAACTATTAGTACAAAACATTTAATGTCGTAAATTTTGTCAACTTCTGCCAAATCTAATTATAGTTGTTTGAAAAGTTGCAAAGTCTTGTTTTCTAATTTCAATATAAGGCCCAAGTTAATAATTGCATGGATGTGAGGACGAGATCTGAATATTGGCTGCTCCTTTCAACTACAAACAACCTCATCCAAGAGGATTTTTTCCCAGGGGATTAATTATGTGATTGTTTGGATTTATGTCTTGTAAATGTTTTGGCTCAGCGTTAGTTGTGGTGAATTGTAGTATTCTACAGTCACTGGTCACAGCTTGCTCCAAAAATTAAGTCTTCTTTATTTCAATCACGTCACGTATTTCCCTAACTAGTTTTAGTCATTTTCCTACTGTGCACTGTTCCCTGGACAAGGGAGTTCTGTAATAAATCATTGGTTACATTTCAGGTGGAGAATTGTGTCTAATTTTGGACATTGCTCAGAGGAAGGGTGAGGTGGCCTTGGAGAGAATGTGGAGGAATTTAATTCGAACAGTAACAGGGACCTTGGGTCTTTGATTATGTGGAGAGGCTGTGATCATTCACCTTAGGAGGTGAAGGAGGGATTTAACAGACATGTTCAAAATCATGTGAAGTTTTGTTTGTATGAACAGCTTCCTCTGGCATAAGGGACAGTAACCAGAGGGCAAGGTTTAAGGTGATTTGTGATAGAGCAGAAAGCAAGAGGAAGAGAATTTAATTTGCCCAGTGAGTTGTTACACTTAAAAGTGCATTGCCTGAGAGAGTGGTTGAAGCAGATTTAATAGTAATTTAAGGGAATTGGAAATATATTTATATTCGTATATATGATATATGGGATGTCAGTTAGCTAGGTGAGTAAGTGTATGGTGTAGAATAAATTTATCAGCATAGGTTCAATCCCTGTGTTCACTGTGATAACTCATGAAGACCCTGCCTCCTCACATAACCCCATGTTTGTGCAGTAGTTCTCTCACTCTGTGTTAGCTCCATTGTCTCTATCTAATTTAGAGAGATGCCTATGGTCATTTGTGACTCGTTACCTACTGACATCGTTTCTATAATTAGACTTGCAGGGCTGTGGGGAAGGAGCAGGGGTTGGAAATGTATAAGGTCCTGAGCGGGGAAGATGATTGTTCCTTTTGTGGGAGAATCCAGGACTAGGGGTCAGTGCTTTCAAATAAGGGGTCACCCATTTAAAACAGAGCTGAGATGTTTTTCTTAGACAGTTGTTAGTCTTTGGATCTCTCATCCTTGGAAGGGTGGCGGAAGCAGACTCTGCCTACATTTAAGACAAAGGCAGATAGAATCTTGATAAGCAAGGAGCTGTAAGGTTATAGGGGATAGGCTGGAAGTGATCACATCTGCTCTGATCTTATAGAATGATGGAGTAGGCTCAAGGGACCAATTGGCCTACTCCTCCTAATTTGTGTATATGTATAGGTCTCATTGGACAGCTTTTTCAAAGAGCCAGCAGGGGTATGCTAGGCCAAATGGCCTCCCCTTCATATGTTGATATGTTGCACTATTGTTCTGCTTCAAACATAGTCACACTGAACGTGGCATTGACAGTGATGTTTTGCGAGTCCGTTTCTGACCTCCATGTTGACAGATTGTTAATTATGTCCCTCAGTGCTCCAGGAACTGTGGAGGTGGGGTGAAGAAACGGGATGTCCACTGCATTGATATCAGGGAGAGAAGACATCTGAGACCATTCCACTGCCAGTCCGTCCTCAACAAGCCCCCGACCAGCCTCGCCTGCAATTCCAAGCCTTGTATGGACTGGTACATATCAGCCTGGGGAGAAGTAAGTCAACAGCAAGCCAGCACTAAGGAAAGAAAGACTTACATTTCAATAGCACCTTTGACAATCGCATAACGTTCCGAAGTATATTACAGCCAATTAAATCGTTTTTGAAATGTAATGCAGGCACACATCCAGAATCTTTCAGCAGCAATATAATAATAATAATAATACTCACCATCAGTTTTAATGACGTAGGGAAGACAGGTAAATATACAGCAAACTTTGTTTTAATTGGCACCTTATCAACTGGCACTCTTGATAGACCAGCGAAAATTTTGTACAGAGATAGCAGGAACTGCAGATGCTGGAGAATCTGAGATAACAAGGTGCAGAGCTGGATGAATACAGCAGGCCAAGCAGCATCAGAGGAGCAGGAAGGCTGACGTTTCAGAAATC